ATACTTTAATAGACAATTTCCATGTAAAATAAAGTCAAACGTGAACAAAAAAAATCTAAAATTTCAAAAATTTTCCGGGTGTAAAATTATACCAATCAAACACACTTAATTAACAATTCACCGTAAAACAATTTTTAGACAATTATTTTCCCTGAAATTCATTTTCTTTCCACCAATTTTACACCCTTGCAATCAAACGAACCCTAATATTTAATTGAGTAGATAATAACTTAGATGGTAAACAATGGACAATGAATCTTCACTCATAACCAACACGGGAGTTAGCTTGCCTTTATGGGTGGCAATCGGTCAAAGAGTCCAAAAGGCAAGTAGCTTTTATAGCGTCTTTGTTCTATTGGAAATCAAGATAAATTGAACACTGGCAAAATAAGAAAATCTTCATCTTCATGTCTTCATGCAGACGATTATTTTGCAAAAGGGTGGAGTTAATTTGGGGGTGAGTAGGTGAGGAAAGTTGAAAAATATAAACTTACCATTTTGTCCCTTTGAAAGATGTCCAAATTTTGGTCAAACATTTTTTAAGAAAACCGTATAAAGATCCTTCTACCGCACATATTCTTGAAAAGTTTGAAATGTATCTGTTGCACGATTTAACGGTACTTTTATAAGGACCTAAATTTTCTTTAGGAGGCACCTATTTACAATTTAGCTTTACATATCTTGTTGATTAGTAGAATGATAGATACTCACAATTAACAAGTAAAAATACTATAAATAAAAAGTACACAAGCATCAATTGAATATAATTCTCCCTTCAATCTCTCCTTGGTGACATTCACATTCTGAAATTCGTATTGTACAATCTCTGCTCGATCCAAAGCTCCCGCACACCTTCCATGCTAGCATAGTCGTAACTTCTGATGTTTTACATCATTCTTCCTCCGACAGGTGATTCACCGAAGTGAGCCTAGAACAAAAAAACATCTTCACTGGTTAATATTTCTGCAGGTGTACAAGTATTCATCACAGAGGATCCTAAAACCCGAACTCTTGATTGGAATAATCTGTAAAGCGTTCTGAGATTAGGACTTACTTAAGGTTAACACCATCTTTCTTCCTCAGAGATGTTGGGGTGCCGCTATTAAGTTTGTTATTTTGAAGAAATCTGTTCATCATAGCGTGGCGCGTTGAGCATAAAAATTCATCACCTTGTAAACTTTCTATGGAAGAACTTACACTTCATGCAGATTAGGTAATTCTCCCAGTGATATAGGAACTGATCCTACTAGCTGGTTGTTCTCCAAATGCCTTAATCAAGTAGAGGTAATTAGGTCGTAATTAAGGTGTAAAAAAACAAGACTAGGTTAGATGATTCCGTAGTGAAAATTGAAGAGCTTACAAAGTTTCTAAAGCATTCATTCCACTCATATCAGGTATTGTACCTGAAAGATTGTTGTCTCCAAACCAACTGAAAAGGAATTTTTTCTGATTATAAACAGAGAATCAATGACAAATAAGAGCCTGGAAGCACATTCGAGAAAGATGAATTACTTACAGATGCTTGAGTGCCGTTAACTTGGATATACTTTTCGGTAATGATCCTGATAATCCATAACCTGTCAGATTCCTTCACGCATTCACCAAAAAAAAAGTTTAAAGCAAAAGCCGGATTAAGAAACTATAGAAATTATACTTCTTTGTTTACTTCATAAATAGATCATACATAGTTTTAAGGTTGTACTGCATATGTTTATTCAATACAGACCCTGCTCGAACAGCTATTGTAATTGACACCGGAGAACTTACAAGGAGACAATCCTAATGGATTTTCCGTTAGAGCATGTTACTCCAGTCCACGGGTTCTCTCTTGGCAGGCATGGATCTCCAACCCAATCCTCGGGTTGATTGTTGAGACTTTTTTGCAAATCCTCCATCGCCACCACTGTTGAATACCCGAAAAAGTATTTAAGTGTATTTGGAAAAATACATGTAACTAGGAAAAGAGTAATTTTTCAAAGTGAACTTTTACCATCTCTAGTAATGGTCCTTCCTCCAAGGGTTAAAAGCTGAAAAATTTCACCAGCATTAATTAGAGGCCCAACCGGCATATCGTTCCTTGGAATCAGGGAAATTTCAGTGTGCCCGGTAAGAGGCCAGTCGGTGCCAGAAACAGTCACACCATTAGTGGTGACATTGAGGTTGCTGTAGAAGGTTTCATTATTCACATGAACGTCGAAAACTCTCCAGCTAAATGGGCTTGGGGTTCGGTTATCTTGAAAGTATAGTGAAACATAGTAGCGCCGTGTAGGGAGGAAAAATGGCGGCCACTTGACTGTAAGAATCTTCCCCCTGCTTGTTGTCAGTGCTGTTGCAAACGCTTTCTGTGGTGGGATGTTCCAAAATGTTGAAGAAGTTACATTGGAGTGACTCGCGACAAAGGGATTTTGGTCCACAAAGGGATGCCAGTATCGATTAAAATTGTCTTCTGGAAAACTGATTCAGCACAATTATTTTCAATACAAGAACTGTCTATACATCTCATTATAGACATGAAAATCTGATCACAAATACTTCTCCCTTGTGCAGTTTAATGTTATTTTTTGATCCATGTCATGTCGTCCTAAGATAATTTGCCTGTTTACCATCTAGAAACCAAAATGTTTCACAATCAAGAAATTTCAACTCCAATTCTTGTATATATATCAGCTTGTTTTACCTAAGTCTAATGCTCCCCCACTAAGAGTATTTCGTGCTCGTTCAACATGCCATTATCGTATAATTTGATGAATGAATGGCTCTCAGCAAGAAATTCACATATCAAATTCTACTAACTAGAAACGCACAACAAATTATAATTCGCAGAATTCCGGAAAACATTTCATACCTAATTATGCGTCCACCCGAGCCAAAACTATTTCTAGCAAGAGTCACCAGCGCATATTTCTTGAAGTCGGTAGAATTATAAACTGAATCATCAAGATGATGCACTTCAATAGCTGAAATAAAAGGGCTGGAAACAGTGTGATCATTTCTTGCTAGGCAAATACTCAGATACTTATGATGCGCCACAACAATGACCTCATAGTAGGAGATGAGCCCCTGGGCATAATCCTCTGTGGTATTCACAATGCTCCACTTTGTGCCATCAACAATCTGATCAAAAACCGGCGGTTCCTCTCCTCCATCAAATCCTCCATAGTAATACATAGTTTTCACCAGATGTTTCCCTCCCTTTATAGCAGGGACACTGTAACAATATTTCTTCGCACCAACATTGGGAAAAAACCTAAGAGTTTGCAAAATTGGCAATATATCTGGTTTTTTTAAGGTAGTTTTGTTTCCTGTTGTAATGAAATTATCATCTGTGACATACTTGAGGGGTCCTTCTTCTACGTCTTCATCAGCACCACAGTTTAGGAGGTAACCTACGATTATACAATTTTTAGCCAATCTCACACACATACATATACATACAAATATATATATTATATAAAAGCATTAATATGGAGTTTTTTAATAAATATATACCTCTTGGCTGGGTATTGGCATGGATCACGAGAGGGATGCTGACAAGCCATAGGAGGAAGACGGAGGCGGACATTTTAGGAGGTGGTGGCGCAAAGGAAAGAATGGGAAGTCTCAGGTGGAGAGAGATAGGGAGAGTGGATAGAGAAAATGGAAATGGAGTGAAATGTCGGACATCAATCAGGTTAAGGGCTGTGCATCAAGATAGGTTGATTCATAATTGAATGGAGCATCATCCCTCAGCGTTCTCCAATAAACCGAAGTTGATGACAATAATAAGTTCCAACCATTATTTGGAAAAAAATAATAATAATAATTAAAATATACATATATATATTATTCAAAACACTGTTTTCCCCGAATAATGACTATCAAACAAGGGTTAAAAATAGAAGTAAATTGTTTTGATGGCTTTATATTTAGAGCATTGCTACTTATACATAATAATATGTACATCAAGGTGTCCACCCCCTCACATGGGGGTGAGACCCACTTGAATATAATATTTTTTATTCAAGTGAGTCCTGCACTCATGTAAGAGGGTGGACACCTTGATGTACATATTATTATATACAAGTAGACAATTCCTTATATTTATGTTATCTTAGTGCTCTTTTAGCAAGACTTCTATTTCTACCTAAGAAAGCCACGTTGAAATAACTTCTTTAAAGTCCAAAAAATTATTCAAAACCTGTTTCGTAGTGCTTCTATTTTTGCTAGAAGGTCTTCCTGAAGCAAATAGATTAACTTTGTCCAAAATCTCTTTTGGTCAGAACAAAACAATTTCGAAAAATAGTCTTAACATGTTAAAAAATAACTCCTTAATTTCAAAAACAACTTCGAACATTTCAAAAGTCAGGTAAAAACATGTCCAAAATCATTTTTTTAGTATCAGAATCAACTTTTGACTATTAAAGAACCTTGAAGACCCTTTGTAATTTGTAAAAAGATACAACAACAACGGCAACGAAGTTTTATGCCTAGTAAATTTTAATTTAAAATCAGCTATATGAGTCCCAGTTTGCCATATCTAGTGAACGATTGAGCTCTTGATTTCAAATTGTAAGGAATACTTCATTCTTTGAATAACCTCAATAGCGTATAGTGGTATCAGAGTGTGCTTTATTCAATTTTCACCCTGTGCATCGATCCGGTCTTTCCAATTTCGAAAATAAGACATTGATCCCTTCCATGATTTAAACCCAGCGCTAGAGGAAATTGAAATAACCACTTACAAGTTACACAGATGTAATATCTTGTAACACAGATTTTTACCTGTTAGGACACTAATATCACAGTCTAAACAATCGTAGTGTGTGCGCAAAGATATTTTATATTTCTCAGTATTAAACCATACGTCAAATTTGAAGATGTTGCAAGTAGATCTGTTAAAATCAGTTCATATCCGGCGCGACCTAATTTTGAGGTGGTCTGTGGCCCAACTTAGCTGGCAGCAGCAGAGGCGGGCCAAGGCAGCTTGAGCGGTGCTTTTTATGCGCCAGGCGGCCCAATATATGACGACGCCTCTACAATAGATGCAACTTCAATGCCCGTATGAAATATCTTCCCTAGCAACGAAAGCGTTAGTAGAAAATATAATAAATAGAAAAATTCCTTAAGTACAGGAATTTTTGCCAGAATTTTGAAATGAATGAATCCTATCCGTGTGTGTATTTTTTCTCCCCTCCAATCTTTCAATCCTTTCCATTCATTTCAAATTCCTGTATGTTTTCTGTTAAAAAACCCTGTACTCAAAGCAGTGCTCTAATAAATATAGTCACATCTTACTGATATCTACATCAATATCTCACTCCGTAAAAGAGCATTCATACAAAAGAGAAGAGAGAACTAGAAAAAAAAGTGTTGACTCGATTTCTCTAAATGTAAGAGTAAATAAGAGGAAGAATTTTGATAGAATTATACAGGAAGATAAAACCCACTTACAAGATCAATCAAACCAAACAAATAAAAACTTACAATGAAAAAGAAAAGAAGAAAAAATCGATCTTCAGAAGGAAACTGAATTTATACAGGAACATAAAACCTTGGTCAGAAAATGAAAATCCATGACCTGGTTTCAAGGGTTGCCTTTCTTTTGGCACAGAAGGGGACATCGTGCGATAGTAGTCTGTTCCGTTAGACTATCTTTCGTCTTTTTTCGGTTGGTTCGAGACGAAAGAAAATTTGATTTACAATTTGCAAAAAGCTTGCAACACAGAATTTAGATGTATTGAAAGTAAATTGATCATTGATTAATGAAAGTAGAAAATGACAATGACTAGTGCAGGGGACAAACACCAGTAAACTTGAAAGATTTTTAAATGATTAATATCCCATATAATAGCTTGCGGAACAAAAACCTAAGTGATAGAAGTAGATGTTTAAATGACGAGAAATCATACTAAATGTTTACAAATATCAGAGTTGTAAAATACAACTGAAATAAACTATTACAATGGAAAGGAAATTATAAATCGAACTGAACTAATATTTACAATGTGCGATCGAAGTTCGACAAACTGCGACTGCGATGGGTCAAGGGACTAAGTAAAGTTGCAATCCTTGACACGTGGAGACGTCATTTCTTGCCCGACATGCTGAAGGAAGTAACTTTCATTGGGGTAGCCACAACCAGTGGAGCATCTGGTGAGTTACTAAAAGCAAATTTGTCGTGCATGAATCGACTTTCAATGATGGACTCGTCCTTCAATACTAATTTGTAGCAATAGCAACTCTTAAGCCCTTGCTGATTCTGGTAGCAATGGTGTGCACTGTTCTTCACCTGCTGAAAATTCCATATCACACTGAACTTGCCCACTGTGGCAACCAAATGCCTTTCTTGTTTTCCACTTTCAGTAACCTAATGACAAAAAAATAATCAGAAAATGAGCTAGGCTTAAAAGAAACAAGCGGCATTATATCACACAATGACAATCACAACAATGATTTATCCTGCATTTGTTGAAATGACAGTCTAATAGTCATTTAGATACTTTATGAAGTCAGGCACATATGTTAACAAGATCTTGAGCACTAACAAACAAAGCCCCTTTTTGACGAAGCTTTTTGAGATTATAAGCTAACCAAACTTTGTTTTTAACAACACATTTCATTGGACCCACAAAACTAAATAACATCCTAAAATATCTAGGGGGGATGAGAGCTTTCACGCTCACATTTTAATAAATGACCGATCTTCAGCAAAGATGGTCCTGATATTCATAACATGAAAGGGGGACGAATCAGCAACTTATGAAATGTCAATTAATAGAAATGACAGTGTAATGTGTATTTCAACAAGCAAGCATGTATTATATAAACCACAATTCAGTCAAGCAATTCAACAAGCAGGATCAACACTTTGTAACACACATACAAAAGTCAAAAGAGTCATACACAATACTTAAAGAAAAGTAAGTGTAACTTACCCAAGAAAAATGGCCAGCGTGAAACTTGTTATCAGAACCAGCCATGTGGGCATCCACAGGGGTCAGCTTTAGTAATCTAGGTGCCAGAATTTTGTTTCCCATACGACCACTAAAACCAGTCTTAGTTTTCCCATCCTTATCAGTGAATAAGGTGCATATTAGTATCAAATAAGTATCTGTTGTTCCCAACACCCACTTTCCATCATAAGTCACGCCCACGGAGGTAATAGGTGAACCAAGACCAGGGAAAGCAGTTTTTGCCTGCCTCATCGAAGTCCTGGAATATAATCTTATCTTCCCATCAAGTGGTTGATCCATCTCCAGTCGTGGCAAAACAGTGAAAATTCGTTCCTTTGGAGAATTGATGGCCTTGGGTCCAATGCAACACTGGTGAACCTGCACTTGCTATCTTCTGAACCATTCCCTGTTTCTCGCGCATATCCCACTGACACAATCTATTATCATCTAATCCCAAGAATGTGGACTCAGAAGGGTCCAATTGTGACCCCTTTGCATCACTGGTAATGTCTTTCATCATAATCTCAGTCCCATCCTTCTCAAACTTCCATTCAGTGACAATCTTCCCTGTCTCAATATCCAACTGGTGAAGCCCTGTAGAATGGGGCTTCCCTTGCTTCAACGGACTCATGAGCATCATATTTGTCTCTCCCCTCAACAAGAGCGCCTTCTTGGGTGTCCCAGAATGCCCTGACGTGGACCCCAATTTCCCACCATCAAACTTCACATGCACACCTTTACCATGAATCCCATGGCTAAAATTCTTCACAACCTGAACCCCCGAATTGCTAACTAAGAAACTATTATCCAATGCTCCTAAGGTCAAGCTCTGAATACCCCCATCAGTTGCGGCCTCCTCGAATTCCTCCAATAAATCTTGATTCCCTCTTTCTGACAAACCCTCTGTAGTATTCCCAGGATTCTTCCACACCCCATCATCTGCATCCTCCCACATCGAATCGTCTGACTGCTCTGGTTTCGCCCATCCAATAAAGTCTTTACCATAAATTTTCATTTTATTTTCCTCTGTAGCTCTCAACCCATAAACATTCTCAAACAAACAGTCCTGAAATTTTGTGACAAAATTCCTATACTCCTCATCTTTCAGAAATTTTAAAGCCCAAACCCCACCATCCACAAAATCTACCCTCCGCTGATCCCCAAGGAATTTCATCTGCAAATCGGTTGTAACCTTAGCCTTGATTTTCTCCCCAACTTTCAAAACCCAGAACCCCTCCCTACTACCCAATCCTTCCTCCTCGTCATCCCCATCATCATCATTACCAACTTTTTTAACAAATTTACAAAAAGTCAACTTCTCCGAAACTACCCATCTCGCCTTCGGAGTGTTGCCACCGATGTGAAGATAAAGCTTAACGGCGTTTTTTATATTGGCGTTGTGAGTTAGTGGGGAAGAGGAAGGGTTTTTTGGATATTTCAGTTTCAAGGATTGGAGCCTAGAATCGATTACATCCGTGGTTTCGGCACGAACCTTACTATTCCTATTTGGAGTATGATCTTCTGCATCGGCGAAATTTCCCGAACTCTCCTCTTCTGATTCATCCTCGCCGGAATATTCCGAGTCGGAGAGTTCGAGGCCTTCACGACTGTGTGAACCGCCCATCGTTCTGGCTCTCCGATTAATCAAAAAACCGTTTGCTTGAAGTGAAATCAAATTGTGGGAAGTATCATTTCCGGTAGAGGAATGGGGAAATTTACAGAAAAATCGATTTTAATTAATTAGAGCCAGAGAGAGGATAAGAGCGTGGGGAGAGAGAGAGAGACTATAAATGGAAAGTGGATATATAATTAGTGAACATCTGATTTTTGAATTAGTAAACATAATCTACGATTTATGAAATGGGATCTCCAAATCTCTGGGTCTATATAATTTCCATTTAGGTAAATTTTAGCCTGGGTGCAGTTTTAAACCTTCTAATTTTGGGCCATTAACGGACTTTTTTTACTTCGGTAGAATTTAGGCACCATTACCTTCGGGAAAAATCCACAGCTACTAGACTATAAGAATCACATATAGAGAAAATATAATCTTAATAAATCCTAAATAACTGGAATTATCCATATTTAAGAGATATTTGTTACACTCCCTCTCATAATCAAACACAATATTTCTCTCTCTACACACCCTACTTCCAAAATCTCTCCAAAATCACTATAATTTCTTCCTAAATCTTTGATTTCAAGCCACAATCAACGAATAATAGTCACAATATAGTGACAATTTCTTGAAATTCATTCTTTTGGATAAGCTAAAGCTCGTTGGAAGACCAATTGGATTTGCCCAAAGCAAATGCTGGCATTTCTCGATCAGATTTTGAAGGCACGCATATAACAAGATACTCATAAGCTTATGAAATTACTGTAAATGATATTTTCGAAATTTAAGACAGTTTCTTTTAACCGTGATCGGTGAGTTTGTGCATTTACTGTCAATGTGACTATCTATGAGCGTACATGTGCTTCAATCACATTGACACATGTTTCTATTAACTGCGACTATTTGTGACATCTATGTTAAAATTTGTGATAGTATGTGAAATCAAAACATTCAGCGACCAAATTTCTTTGCTCAACTCTTTGTGACCCTACATGTATTGACTGTATGTGAATTTGTCTACACTAGATGTAAATTTCTATGGTCTGTACACATCTATGTGTGACTTATTTATTCAGTATGTTATTCTATTGTATGTAAATGTAAAATTCTGTACTTTTTTTTTATTTCCTTGTGATTGAATGTGACCAGATTTTTGTAGACTATCCGAGATATGATTGTATTACATATGAATGTTTATGGATTTTAATGAATTGAATGTGACATATTGTTATTTGTGTGTGATCTGGGATGGGAGTTTTGGCCGCTCTACTAAGAAGAGAAAGAAGTTAGTGTGTGAGAGATTACAAGTTGTGAAATGTAGAAGATGTGGTAAATTCGGTCACGAATGTAAGATATGCAGAAACATGGTGCCACTTAACCAAAAAGAGGGAAAATTGAAAGTAAAAAAACATCTTTTACAATTCATATAGATTAACATAGTTTTTTGTTTTTTGTTTTAATGAGGATATTCTTTGTAGTTGCAAATTCTTTCAATTGATTCTCGAACTCGGGTATTGGTGGATTACATAAATTGATAGATTATTTTACTAAGTTTAGGACATTGTCTTGCTCTTAACAGACTAACACTGATGTATGTGAATATGTGATCATCAACAGTTTGTAAGAAGTTACTAGTCCTTTGCGACAATTTGTCCTCTAACTACCTATGACGGTATATGTATTAATTGTGACTGATCGTGACCGAGTATGTGTTCAATGTGATTATTGTGTAATTCTTACATGTTAAGCATATGTGACCATTTGTAACAACCTGTTATGTGACAGGTTAAGCATATGTGACATGTTAACACATACGAATATAAATTTTTACCTCCATGAAAACCATTACTTAGATGACATAACCAAAATCATACACATATTCTCATTCACACGCCCTTGATAAAAATAGTTATCCATTGTACCAAGGACTTGAAAAACAATCATCTACATTTAATACCAAATCAAATTACAAATGTAAAGATAACATCTACCTACTCCATCATAAAAACAACACCAGTTTGTCTATTTTTTAACATATGTCTATGATCTACCTATTCTTAAGTCCAGATGGTTTTTCATCCAAAATTCGGCAATAGAGAACTAAATATATCTCCCGTTGATGTTAAACCACATTTCTTGCTTGTTTGGTTGCTTAACCTCTCGCAGCAACACATAATGAATCAGTTGAGGCTGCATAACCATCTCTCTAATATGCAAGTAGTACGAGAAGCAAGTGTCTTCAAGGATCTCTCTGGGCAGCGTTGAACTTCATCGCAAAGTTCGTGATGACGCTCTGTATTGAGCTTATTGTGATCTTCACAGGGAACAATTTGCTAGACTTTATTAAATATCTTCAATCCTGCACGAATTATAATATCAGACATGTTAATGGGACCTTCAGCACATGCATTAATCATGTCACAAAACTTAATTGATGCTATAATCAACATACCTATACACTACAACCATCACTGTAAAGCAAATGCACAAAAAAAAATTTAGGGACAGATCGGATTTCCCATTTTCATCGATTCCCTCGTGATGCCGACATCTTCACTCTCTTGGGTGATGAAGATTCTTCAACATCTTTCTTCCTTTTTTCTTTCACATTCTCCCTTCTCTTATCATCGACAGTGCGAGTTAAAACCATTTTCAAAACCTCTAAGGGTGGAAATAAAGTGTAATACAGCGATTTTACGGGGAAACTTTTTGGTGATAATGCTGGCGATGGTGATGGATATGGTGTTTAAGCGAGATGCCGATGATTGAAGAATGAATACAGAGGAAGATATAGACTTCCATTGCTTTTGATTACTGAGATTATTGGGATTTCAAGCATGGGCGGACCTAGGGGGGTCCTGGGGGGCAAGTGTCCTCCCCAACTTTTGAGATTTTTTTATTTAATAAAATCATGTTTAGTATCGATTGTAATCTAATTTTTAATTTAAATCAAAGTTAATAATTAATTTTAATAATACATTTCAATGATTCATAGAATCCATAACTGTTTAACTTTTATCAAAATTTGATTTTAATCTCCTCCAAATAGGGGCAAAATCACAATAAATTTGAATTTCGATAACATGCTAATTTTAAAAATTTGCCGACGATCGTATGCTAATCGAATCTATAAATTGCTTATGTCATCTCAAAATTTATTTCGAAAATCACATTGTGGGCATATCGAATAGTCCAAACAGATATCGAAAATAGTTAAAAATACGTTAAACGTGAGTCTTAAAAAAAGACGTCTAACTCGCATTTTTTTTAAAAAATCAATTATTTCATTAATATTTATTATTTTTGCGATACAAATTTCTCAATATAATTTTCATCATTTTATTATGAAATTTTATATGGAATATGACATCAAAATTTTTCGAAATTTTACATCCGAAAAAGTCATATTTCATTGAAATTTTCGGATGTAAAATTACACGGGGTATGATTTTTTTGGACGTAAATTTTCGATTGTAAAATTTCTCGCAACTTCTTTACAAGTTCGATCGTGCCCTCCTAACTTTTAAGGTCTGTATCCGTCCCTAATTTCAAGAACGTGTGTGTATTGTAGAGAGAGTGAATTTGTGTGTATTGTAGAGAGAGAATAGACGTGGTGGTTTTGATTCAAGAGAGAGAATGAGTTGGGGTGTTACTATTATGAAAAGATTCTTAAAAATATCTCATTAGATAAATGATAATAACGATTTCGATATTAATCATGATCTAATTAATTTAATAAAATTTCTTCCTTATCAAACATAAACTGTTTTCATATTAATTATGTATTAATCAATTTAATAAATTTGCATTATCACCTGATTTGTGAAATTAAAATTAGACCGTCTTATTTTTGAGTAGTATAGTTCGTACGTAGGGTTTGTGATTATTCTTAGTTTTAGCTTAACCCCATAAACTAGTAGTAAAGATTTTATACATTTTTAACACCAAGTAGTTCGTATCTATTAATCCTTGTCAGAATGAGCTTTTGAAATACAATAATTATCATAGCATTCTCTAAAAACTTTTCTAATTTCATCATAATTCAAAACTGCGTAGAACAGTAAGAAGAAGAAGATGCTTTAAAAGAAATCAAGGATTGAAAATCTTGGACTTGTTTATCGTGACACACGATTGCAGTCTCGTGGAGCATGTGATTGGATGACGATATTTGAAAAAAAAAACGATTTCAATTTTTCATTTCAACCATTTGAAATTTCAGAACCAAAAAATGTGGCACATAGGATCTCTAAACCACCACACCAACTCAATTCGATTTGACCCCAAAAGCTAATGAGTGAAATCGCACAAAGAAAAATTAAAGCCGCACAAGGGAATATTAAATATGCACATGTTAAATATGTGTTTCTATTATTTAGTACCTCGATTTAAGCACGTCTTACATAGTCCATGTCTGACACTCATTTTGTTTGAAAAATAATTTTTGGAATAGTGATTGATGGAAGATTGTGTAGTTAAAAAGTAATGGTTGAAATGAATAAAAAGAAATAGAATGAAAAAAAAATTGGTGTCAAACTGGGGCATAAGTGGCTGTTGAACAGATAATTTGGGTATGGCTCACCTGACCCAGTCAGTTCAAAAGTTCCTCATCTCACGTGGTATATTATCGGGCAGTTTGAGGCCCATTCGTCAATTGCATAAACTTGCTTTGTTTTTCTGAACATTTAAAAGGCATGGTTAATAAGGCAAATTTAGCTTCAAAATACTTTGACAGTTGTATATACATCTATCCTGCTAGGTTCGATAGGTCATAGGTCCATGTTAAGTTGGCTGGCTTACTAGTTTATGGTCGAAATACTCGGTACTGAACCCGCGAGATTAATCGTTATATTCGATTATTCACTCTAGAATAAATTCAACATAGTTATGATTATACTCAACTGTATTCGATTCTATTGCTGTTGCGAAGTTTATGCAATCGATCACATTAGAAAGATATCCTTCAACACAATCTATATCGAGTTAGTCTATGAGTACAGAAAATCAACAGAAAATACACTTTGGAACGTTGTTATTGGAAGAAAAAAAACAGACAGACAAATAGGCGAATAGGGTGCTGCCACATCAGCATCCTTTTTTTATTTTGGCAAAGAATCCTGTACTTGCAACTTTATTCTTCAATAAAACTATAACTGGGTTTATTCTATGTGAACCGTGCTGCTTGTACAATCGAGGTTGAGAACCTCGATTGACAACCACTCACACATGAGATTGGTGGGTGCATAGTTTTCTATTTTTTTAACACGGTGGGACCCACAACTGTGAGATGTTGTCAACCTCGTTACATATTAAGGTTTTTTCCCCGTGGACAGAATAGCCTTCACAGAAGGCTTACAGAAATCTCACATAGGGGCCCTTAACGGAAGGCTTACAGAAATCTCACATGGGGGTGGGCTCCATGTGAATATTTTATTGTCAAAAAAAAAAAGAAAAAACCACCTCTGCTGTGTCTCCTCTGGAGGGGTTCTAATTAGATCCTAATGACAGAGTCTGAAGAATCATTTCCACTGGAATACATCATCATTGTCATCATCCATTCTTGAATTTCATCTTCTCCAATCACATCCCAGAAACCCATCTCATTGCTAGTCTTAAAGTCCATTTCTGTCGAAATCTTATTGTTTTTCGCATTTTCTTGATGCAGAATTTTCTGATGATTGCAATGATTTTGAGATGGTGGACTAGGTTGATTGCTGGCCGAGACTGGGGCGGCGGTGTAATCGGCAAGAGGAAAATTAAGCTTTGCTCTTGGACCTCTAAATTCAATCGCCGCCCTATCATAAGCAAGTGCCGCATCCTCCGCCGTCTCAAATGTACCAAGCCACACTCTTGCAGCCTTACGAGGATCCCGAATCTCTGCCGCCCATTTTCCCCATGGCCGGTGCCTTACACCTCTGTAATTCTTCTTTTTCTTCACCACCACATTCTTCTTCTTCTTTTCATCCACCACTGCCACCGCCGGTCCAAAATAATTGCACCCCAAACACCCTTGGATTCTGCAAAACTGACAAGTCTCTGTACCTTGAGCAACCGAAAACAACACCTTCCCTTGAGCATCATATTCAAAATGAGAAGTGGCAGCGTCACCAGTTATGACATTCTTCAAAGTAGCTATCATGACGGAAATTTCCTCCTCACTGATGAGTCGGGGCGGTGGTGGTGGCGCCAGAGGTGTCAACGGTGGGTGGTTCATTGAGGTACTTACTTCTTGTTTGAATCTCTTGGCTGATCTCTGCATGTTTCTTGAGAGCTGATTTTGAGTGGCAGAATTTCTTATTGTTGGAAACAGAGGTCAAAATTGAAATGGGTTTATACATGGAAAAAGTGCCAGCTCATACGCAAATAATACACGGGGTTTCTGTCGAAAAAAAGTTATTGATATCGGCACGTGGAAAATTTTGGGCAATGGTTATAGGATGGACGTGGCAAAAATGATGAGTTGGCATGCGAATGGGAAGTATTCAAACAGTCTAGACTAGACTCATACATTGTTTGATCCCATTTTTTCCAAAATACATTTTTTCTTTTATCTTTTTAATCACGTATTTTTAATAAAATAATTTTACACGCAACCCAAAAATTTTCCCTATATTTTTAATGACATTATTCAACAATTTACTATTTCAAAATGCATTCTATCTAAAAAATGGGATTCAAACAGATTCTCGGTATCATCTCTAACGTCGAAAAAGGCAAAAATTATGTCAGGGATTGAGACTCTTACTAATTAGAGCATGTTCAATGCCCTTTTTTTTTCCCCAAAATGAATTTTGGAATAATATTTTGATAGAAAATATGTAGTTAAAAAAGAAGGAAAAATTTTGGGTTTGCGTACAATATTATTTTATTGAAGAATGTCTGGATGAAAATAAGAGAGAAAAATGAAATTTAAAAATAATGGGGATCAAACAAGGGATCCAAAACTTTTTTTACATTTTTAACCACACATTTTCATCAATCTACTATTTCAAAATACAATTCACACAAAAAATGGAGTTCAAACAAGTTTTCAATTAGTAAAAAAACCTACCGTGACATGGTCACTCCAGGGAAGCCACGTGACCCTGAAACAGCAACATAGCTCTTAATTAGTATAGTAATATTATTTAGTCTCAATGAGGTTTGTGCACTATATGATAAGTTAAATTTAAATTCACATATTATTTAATTTACATTAACGTTAAATTGAGGTTGTAATCCTAGTTGTACGTATCATTACTCTAATTGAAACTTGACCCGTCCCGATCTAATTATAGTTAGACAGGCCACGTTTCCACAAAGATTTAATTTTTATTTAATATTGTTAAATATGCTATATTATTAAGCTTCATATTGTTAAAAATCATATTTTTAAGTAAATTTTGATAAAAATTGATCAAATGGGAATTAAAAAGTTTACAAAAATTATGAATCCTATTAAGCCTTTGTTTGAGTCTCATCATTTGGTAAAAATAGATTTTGAAATAGTGATTTTTTTTTTTTTTAATGTGTGGTTGAAAAGTAAGTAAAAATTTTAAGTTTATGTGTTTAATTATTTTTCTAAGAGAATATATAGTTGAAAATGAATTTGACGAAAAATGTATTATTGAAAAATGAAATTCAAACAAGTGCTAAATATGTGATTAAAATAATTTGTTGATTTTAACTTTTTTTAAAAATCATATTTTAGTTGAATTAAATAGAGACTAAGGCAAATATGTCGAAAAAGAAAAGAGCATTAATTTGGAAAGCTCACATAAGGCTTGTAACAATTAAGCTACTTGTACATTTTTGTAGACATTCTTCTTGACATCCCCTATGTGCCAGATATCTGGTCAGTGATGTAAAATGGTGTTGTAAAAATCAATGGCTATGATGAATTTTATGTCAAACGATGTCAAATATAATGTAAATGCTCGATGCAATGCGAAACAAGAAATTCATGTGAAAACCTTAAGAACAAAAATTTTAAAATCCGCCAAAATTATGAAAATAAACTCACGAAAATTTTATTAATGTAAGATAATAAAAAAACAATGAATTAACCCTTTATTTATAAGGTTTACATGAAAATCTAGTTTAAACAAATTAAAATTTTAAAGAATTCGAAATAAACTAAATGACAAAAATAACACTAAACTCGGAAGGTCAAAATCAATCTTATATCACAGCAAAGCATTGAGTTTTACTCGTTTTGTCGTTCTCTTTCCGGAATCGTATTATGAGCCTAAATCGGAGCTCGACCGTCATACCTACACTATTACATTTTTTTTCCTTTTCGGTTCAATTCTTATTTAGTCCATTCAATCATATGTTCTACATCAAAGTTAATGTACACGCGGCATGATCGAGCTTGTAAGAACTATAAGAGCATTTCCAACATTTGCACCGTTTAATCATGGGAAGAATTCACAAATCAGCTATTAAGTTTAAAAAATACAAAACTCAAGTATTTAGTTAATTAATTAAAAATATTTATTAATTAGGTCACAATTATACAATTAATTGTCACATATACATAATATGTCACAATTTATTTATTGATCACATATTATGAAATTAATTAGTCAATGATGATTTCGAGGGCACAAATTCAAAAAATTATAGGTC